CTGAGACTTAGCCCGAGGCCACCGGGAAGGCCCCCTTGTGTTGAAATTTTGATGGGCTGTTCAGAGGTGGGAGGGCCCAGTCCCTGACACCCCCTGACACCACCCCACGTGGGTGGGGGGCCAGAGCGACCTGGAGTCAGGCAGCTGAGACCAGGGCAGGCGCCTCGCGGGAGGCCAGCTGGCCTCCGGCCTGCTCTGGGCTTTCCCACAGCCTCTCTGCGCTCTCTGCGACAGACTGTGAAGCTGTGGCTGGAAGGGGATAAAGTCTGGTTGGCCTGGACCCAAACTTTTCACATCAACATGACAAAGGAATTACTAAAGAAAATGAGCTTCTACAAGATAACCTTGAGGCTCTGGGACACCAAGGACAAGGTCCCGAGAAAAGTCCGGTACTACCGCCTGAAGACGCCCGGGTACTCCGACGACACGGGCTCCTTCGGTGAGTCAGCTGCCCCACCACAGCGGCGGCCCCTCACCCGGCCGCGGGCTGCAGGCCGGGTCCCTCAGCGCCTGCGCCCCGCTGCCCCGACCTGCGCGCCCCTGCCGTGATCAGGCCTCAGGGTGCTGCCCCAGAGTTGTGGGCGGGGGCCTGTGGGCTCCAGGTTGCCACTTCTGCTGCCACCACCTCTGGGTCCGCCTGTCCCTGGACAGTGCCCTCTGGGGCCTCCCTGGCGTTCACTGGGGCAGAAATGAGAGGATCGTGACAGACAGAAGAGAAAACTTGCTCCCACGTCCCCGAGACATTCATCTCTAACTTACAGGCGCGAGGTGTTCACAGGCCCCTCTCTGCTCACCGCAGTCTTCCTGCTCCACTACTGGCTGTTGCTGTGGTGCCGGCTTGCGTCGCCCTGCGCCTCAGGGCCTCAGGGCCCACGGCTCGCACACACCCACTCCCAAGCCCCGCCCATCGTCCATCCTCGTCCCTGCACCCCTCCCCCTGGCTCCCCACCCTGTGCACACAGCCCAGCAGTTGCACCTCAGGGGGCTCTTGCTTTGTTCCTTCGTATTCCACATGTGAGTGAAGTGACGGGTTCTTTCTCCTGCTGACTTATTTCACTCACATGTTCCTCCCGGCTGCATCTGTGCTCCCCTCTGGTTTGGAGCCGAGTCACACTCGTCGCGTGTGGCCCACATCTCCGTACCCACCACCGGCCATGGGCTCAGCTTGTCTCGCAGAAAGCCACTTCCGAAATTCTCCTAGAAGGAGAGAGCTGGGCGGAGCGGGAAGACCCAGTCCGACAACTGAACTCAGTCCAGCCTGTCTTGGGCTGGCTGGTGACCCTGGACAGGTTCCCACTTCCTTCAGTCAGGTGCCCCGAGGCAGGGCGGTGGGAGCGCCCCATCCCCAAGAGCAGTGTGGGGGAGTGCCTTGTCTAGAGGATTTCAAATTGCAGTAAGATGCTGCCCGTGAGGCTATGGTACGATCTAATTGTAAGACGCACCCCAGCTTTTAGAGATGTTGAAGCTCAAGCAGGGTGCAGGCTCTGTGTGGCTGTGGTTAGCTACCTGCACGCAAGCGCAGCCCCCACTTTCTGGTGAGATGCCGCTAGCTTGAGGTGGTGGGAGACCTCTGCCTTCCACACGTTTCCAGCCTCCTGGTCAGGGAGGCTTTTTGGCCAAGAGGCTTGGCCTTCTGATTTCTCGTCTTTGTAGCCACAAAGTCTTGGCCTTGACACTCTGAGCGCTTTGGGTCAGGTCATTCCTCACTGTGGGACCCATCCTGTGCAGGTGGGACTTTGCACAACGTGAGCTTTCTCATCTGCTTATGGGTCCCGTGTCTCCCCACCTGTTCAGCCAGACATCATCACCATAGTCCCTGTGCTCTTCCCCCACTTTTTTTTTAAAAAGATTTATTATTTATGCATACAAAACTGGGGTACAGGCCAGAGGTGTAGGGGCAGTGAGAGG